GGTAGCTGTGGGGTATTTTCCTTGAATCGGTGCCTCATTCAACAAAGAGCCTTTACACTTCCTGTTAATGCAAAACCCTCAATGAATGGGAGTCACCGGAGCCAAACCGCTTAAATATTTATTAACTCTTCTTCTGTAATTTTCACAAATACAAACAACTTTCTCAGCTGTCATTCTGCTAACTGCTCTGCTAAGACCTTATGGAAATCTAGAAGCAGCTGTTTGTGGTGCATGAAGGCGACTCATCTCAGAAGGCTGCCGAATACCTAATAACTAAAAAATATATATTTTACCACAATCCAAACCCTCCAGGTTTCAGCTCCATAGAAAAGCGTATTGGAAACAAATGAGAGAAGCCTACAGCAAAGGGGATGGCAGCCAAACTTAGTGTCTTTTGCTTTCTATAGGCACAGTAGTTGAACATTTTGAGGGGATTCCTGTGATGTCTTGATGTTCTACTGATGTCTAATGATAAACTGAAGACTTCACCTTTAACATTTCTAAAAAGGATCCTCTAAACCAAATCAGTGACCCGTGGAAGAGCGCCATAGGCATTTACCGAGCATGTGCCTTTGTTTTGCCCTGAAAGGAGTCTTCCAGGTGTGGTTCTGACAAAATACGTGCTAGTCGTTCAAATTCTAGGTTCAGACTACAAGAGTTTAAGTTTCCTTTGTCACATTTGAGGACAAAGCAGGATGATGTAAATTACTCTCTGGGGTTAAAGTTAGGAAACTGTCTGGAATGGGCAGCTCGGAGGCAACGATGCACCAGAATTCATGCATCGGCTAAAGCGTCGACTTTGCACTCGGGAATTAAATACTGGTTTATTTGTGATCTGACTGAGCTGGACATGGGCTGAAGTCATAGTAAAGTCGTGTGAGTTGCATGTGTGAAAATGGCTCTTTGATAAGAAACAGCTGCCAGGGGTTAAAATGTCCGGTTCAACTTTCTGCGTTTGTAATTTCTCACTGCAAAGTGCAGCTAAAGTTAAAAACCTCTCCGGTGTTCCTGCAGTGGAAACCAACAAACTATCCAAACCTTAAAATGATTCGAAGTGAATTACTAAAATGAAAAGTGTCAGATATTCACATTTCAAGTCGAGTTTTCAGAAACCAAATGAACCTTTCAGCAGTTTGTATCGGATACTAAAGTGTCCCGTTTGCAAGCATCCTCGTTTCCAAGTATCTGAAGTTGTCAGATAAATTAACGCGTACAGAAAATATTTTCCTTTTCATGGGAAAAGACTCGTGAGTACGTCAGCTTCTGTGAGTCACTCTGCATCAGTGAGGTGGGAAGCTCCGTTTACTTCAGAGGATTTATTCTGTTCACGTTTGGTTTCTACTCGAGGGCTCTGCAGCTGCTTAAAGCCACAAACAGCAGCAGCGACAGTTCAGCTGGTGTCAGTAAACTCTGTGCTCGAGTTTTAGTGCAGAGATGTTGAGTCCAAACCGGGAGAACCTCAACGCGACGCTCCCCGCCTGGACTCACCTGAGGGATCGACAGGTCACCTGATCAAGTCACCAAAAAGTTCTTTTTACGCTTTGCTGGTTGGCTGCAGGTAGCTGGTGATGTCATCTGTCTTCAGAGGAGGTACGTCCTCCTCGTTGGTGTTTAAAGAGTCTGATTGTCTAAGCACAGTCTGAAGGGTGTAGAAACAGAGCCACGGACACCTCGTTCAGTTTTTGATTTAATCTAAAACCTTTCAGAAAATGGCTGCATCTCTGAAAGGACTCCAGGAGTCTTTGTTTTAGCCATCCCAGAAACAGGAACCTGTGAGAGACGCCGCATCTCCATCTTCAATCTGAACGCCTGAGAAATAACGACTTCCACAAAAGCAGAGAATCGTCTTCGGCTCGTCCATCTGCAGCTTTTAACAATAAAATGTATTTGGAAAAGACGCGTACAGC